AACTCAGAAAATTTTTCTTTTTTTTTTTTTTTTTTTTAAATGTATGTACATTTATAACAGTATTCTTTGTATTATATCACTTTTGCATCAAATTACAAAAAAAACAGTTAACGCTAATGCGAGCTGAGAAACTCGAAAATTTGAAAAAGGTCCATTCAATTTCACCTTTATCGCAACAGTCGTAAAAAATTTAGTTTAATTGTACACAGACATTTTTGCCTCCTTATCTTCAATTTGGGGGGCATTTTGTTAATTCATTTTCAATCCTGATAACAAATAATTTTGATAATTTGTTAAATTGTCAATTAGCACATAGTTTTGCATAAAAGTAGTTTCGTGGAGCACAAAAGGAGGTGTTCGGCGAAATGCTTGCACTGTTTGTGGACAGGGTCATATGATAAGCTTCGCATGAGGAACAGGCCTACATTTATGTTGTTATAATCTAAAAATCATCCATATTTGATGCTGATGCCAAACACCAGGTGTGCCAGCTTGAATATGTGAAAGTGCAAATGAGTTTTGAGGGGAACTCCACTGGATGGGACGTTTGAGTAAAAGCAGGTGTTAATTGTTTGTCATCTTCTGTCAGTTTTGTCCATTTTAAAATGAAATCTCTCACAAACATTCATGACGTCTTAGGGCTTTTGTGCATCAGCCTGCAGGACCAAGAAACCCACTTTGTAGTCTGTCAGATGGATACTGAGGCCAGCTGCTTCTGCTTTCAGAAAAAAAAAAAAAATGGTGCTAATTTTAGTCAGGTGTCAGACTTTCAAAATGCATGTTCAAACTATTTAGTAACTCGTACAATAGTAATGCTTACCATTCTCAAATATTAGTGCAGTTGATGTTAGTATTTAGCATCACTATTACTATTGCTCATACTTGCTGGTATTGATTTGAATAAATCCCTAATGCTAAAGTTTAGTGCATGCACCGTTTATGTGCATTCTTCAGATAATGTAAAAATCCAGTTGGAGGTTTTTTTCAGCATATAATCACTGTCGTACCTATGGGTTTTTCAGCTGTAAACACTTATCAGTATCACTTCATCAGTAGTCAGACTGGCAGATGGAGTTTGTCTCTGTGATTACCCAGCATCCTGTTCTCTGGCACATCCTGGGATTTAGCATCAGTTGTGGGCAGTGAAGTCTGAAAGAAACCAACAGATGGAAGTGTGTGCGAGCCCCTCCTCTCCCCTCAGGAGCCATTCAGTCACATTCACTGGAGTTCATGGTGTTTTACTGCGGTAGTTTACCGCTGTCCTCTCAAACACAGCACAGCTGCACGCTCAAAAGATCACTATTACAGCATTTGTGCGCCACAGTTAGGTGGTCGCCCCACTGCACTGGCCTCATTTACCGTTCACAAAGACTCATGGTTGTTAACGTGGGCGCTGCATTGCAGGTTTTATTGCAAAAAAGAATCAAGAAAGATTCTGTAATAGTCGTTCTTAATCAATCACTCCTCATTTGCTTTTTTGTGTTGTACTGCTTATCAATGCCACAGCCTCTCATTTTTAATCTCATTATGTCCATCATTCTTTCTAGTTTCAGTTTTGTGCATGTAGATGGTATGTTGTTAGTGGATAATCACTACTACAGTGAGATTTAATCCTGAAAACATTGTTAAAAGGGCAACGTTTCCACCTAAAGAAATTACTCGTAGTACTTTTGACATTCAAATATCAGTATAAACTCTTAAGATCACGGTCCATATCAGGCAGCGAAACACAAACACACATTGGTGCACCTCTAAGCTCAATAGATTTATGAATGACATTTTGGTTTTCTTTGTACAATATCATTGTTTGTGTTTTTCAGTATCAGCAGTACTATCATGGACATGGAGAGCATTGCTTCCAGCGGTCGTTCTCCCCCAGCTATGATGAACGGTCACGGCGGGGCATCTTC